ATATATATATATAACATATAATATTAAACTTAAACTCTCTAAACAAGATCTCAGAGATAACAGAGTAGTTCGTATTTATTTTTGTTTTCATGTATTTCTTTTACATTTAATTAATATATTCTATTTCAAAAAAATGAGACAAATAAAGTTAAACTTTGCAGAATAATTATTAAATTATATGCTATTCAAATATTTGCATTTCTTATTCAGAACGTATCTATTTAGATATGAACGTTATACTTTAACGTTAAAGAAATGTTAAGTAAAAAAGTAGAGAATTAACAATAATGATATTGTGCAGCTTTATAACCATGTCCTGTTAGATATGGTACGCTAACAACTTGGAATATGGTTTAACTTAATAGCATTGTGGGATTTAACAAATGTTTTTATTTAAAAATATATTCTTGTGTAAATCAACCTACACAAACATCAAAAAGCTAGTTAATTGCTTCCGAAAGCACGAAAGTCATCAACTGTGCATAATGTTACTACAATAATTAACAATTTTCATTAAATTATTTCGTTAAGAGACTGACATTACGAATGTCTACCTGCAAAATGCTGTGATAATGATTGTAGTCGTATCGACCGATATTATATGAGTTGTATATTTAATAATAAATGTGATTCTGTTAAATAAAAATATAAGTACTTGGCAAACTTTCTTCTTTCAATTAAATACTTTATATTCATCATCTTACAAAGTATTGTACAATATATAAACAATGCTAATCTTGGAATTTTTATCTATAGTTTATCGAAGACATAAAGAATTAGCTAAGCATTTATGTTTCAAAACTAATTAATTTTTAAATGATAACAATGCCGTGAAGTAAGATACACCCGTTCGTACCACCTTAAAACATTTAGAAGCATATAAATCATTTTCTGCATATTGTAAATTATTTTTCCAGATTGTCTTCTTACCGAAACGAAGGCTGCCATTGATAACGAAAACAAATTCCCTGCTGTCAGTTTACACGGCACAATACTTCTGTAAAGAATTATGATTAGCAGTGATTTTAGTCTTGGTGAAAATTTGTACCATTCCGCTGCGTATCTGAAAATATATATATAAAAAAATTAATTTTTATTTAGATTTTTATCAATATATGTCACGCAAATTTTAAAGTAATAAAGTATCGTAAATTAAAAAATCAAACTATTAAATAAAATCTCATGTAACACTTTTTAATATATCCAAAATTTTATATGTACTTGCACTTTGCATAACATATTTCATGTATAGTTTACTATTAAAAATTTACTATTACAAAATAATTTGAATTACAGTTATAAAATAATTTAAAATCAATTTGCAAATTTTGAATATAAATATTTAAAATAACGGATATTTAAAACGTTTGAGAAAATATAAAATAATTATTACGCTCGATGAAATATATTCTGACTTTCATCCATTAATTTCTGGCCGGAATAACACACGATCATCAATTGTAATAACGCCCCCATGATTATAAACGTAAATCTAATCAGTTCTTCTAATTGGTCTAACACATAGACAATCTATAATACATCAAAGATATTATACATCCATGCGCTCTCTGAAATACAATCATATTTGCACAAAATTTATGAAATCATAAGTTTTTTTAATTTAATATATTGATGCCAATTATTGGAAAGTCGATTATTTAAGAACAATACTTACTCGAACTCCAAGTAAACTAAAAACTGCAGCGATGAGCAATAAAAAGCTAATTCCGACAATTTTGTGCGTATCATTCAATATATTGACATATCTAATAATAAATTTAATTAATTAATTATATGCTTTTATTAATAATTATCCTAGCAAATAAGTTGACGTTATTTATCGTTATTTTAGCGATGATTTAAAAAAAATAATATTTTGAACATCAAAATGATAAGTAACATCACCTTGTTTACTAGTATAAAATAAAATTGGACTGATGAGAATAAATCTAATTAGATAAGAGAAATCCTAGTTTCAGTCAAAGTAGATCTTAATACTTAAATATTTCGGTATAAATTTATATACATATCCAATTCTGCAAATTATGCGCTGAAATTTTTTTCAGTTTTGATGAAGCAATCATGAATAGAACTAGAAATAGGAGATTCTGGTTCGAATTTCGACTGATATAATATTTTTCGCAATAATTAAATTATAGGCAAGTTCTTTATTAACAAATTATTAAGATTAGCATCAATAAGATTAAATTATTTGTCAATTTAATATGTACGTGATATTATTATATCAATATATTAGGTGTAGTAAAAAGAAATCCATTATTTTTCCATTCAATTTCATGCAAAAATAATGAATTTCTTTTTACTACACCTAATATATACTCTCTAATTCTATTCATGATTGCGTTCAAGATTAAGAAAGATTTCGGTACGCGGTAAAATTAGATATGTATAGATACATAACAAATACATTCACACTGAAGTATTTAAGCTAGGGATATACGGAGGAGCACATAAGCTATTGATCTCGAATCAAAATATCAAGTGCCAATATATCAATTCCGATAAAAAAGTTTTTATGCATGAATATTGAATATCTATAAATATGAATATTGAATATCTATAAACATACATAAACACGCATAAATATTCATAAACATGTATATTCATAAACATGTATAATTATATATGAAATATATCCATATATGTTTATACATCCTTCTTTCTTTCGTAAAATTATTTTTTAGTGTAATAGAAATAATAATAGTAATGTGAAAACATAAAAAATAATTAAAGGGATAATTTAATTTTGTATTTGTTTTAAAAAAAATGTTTTTGTTTTAAAAAAAATTTTGGAAAAATGTAAAAAAAATTGCCCATACATAATTATGCATAATTTTATATATAATTATATATAAATAATTTTTTTACATTTCTTCAAACTTGATTTTTTTCTAAAACAAGTGCGAAAATTACCTTTTTATAATAATTTTATAATAATTTTAAAAAAAGGATGAATGGACATATTTCATATATTTCATATAATTGTACGTGTTTATGAATATTTATGCGTGTTATGTATGTTTATATATATTCATGCATGAAAAATTTTTTATCGGATGTATTGATTAGAAATAGATTCAATATTAGACAATTTGTAATACCAATATTAGATATAACGAATTCGGTGGCCTGCACTGATTCTGTATTAATACCAGAATCGCGTTAATGAAATTTGCACCCAACTAGGGGCTTGTGATCTTCGAGTGATCCCACTCCCCCTAATGATTAAGTAAAAAAATTATAATAATATTTTAAATACACTTGTAGGTGTGTAATTAGAACGTAGACAATTGGAGTTAGTAGTTAAGGCTGAGGTTTATTGAATTATACTTGGACTACAAATGTACAACAAATATAATGTAAATTATTGGGTTGTCCGGAAAGTTCGTGCCGATTTTGAAGGAAAATTGAAACGTAGAAGATTTAAATTTTAGTATACATTTATTAAATTTAAATCTTTTGCGAACTTTCCAGACAACCCAATATATCATTAATCTATTATCATATTAGAAAAGCAGAAGTCAAGTATATATCTATAATGTTAATAGAATTATTATTTGTTGATTATTCTATGATTTTACAAAAATCGCAAAATTATAAATGTACTTGTTTTAAATAATTTAATTTTTTTTATTGTGGCGCCCTTGACATTTTGGCTTTCTGGGGCTCAAAACCCCAAAAGTAGGTTAAGTCCTCATAGAATACCGATGCTTTGACACCAAAGTATGATTGGTGAAAAATAGGTGAAAAGGATAAATTTTACATAACTCGTTCTTCACCAATCAGCGCTCAAAGCGCCGGTATCCATATGAGGATCCGGACTAATACGCTACTGGTTAGTACTGCCCTGATGTAGTACTAGTGCAGTATGGTCTCGGAATAAATGCGATCAATCACAGCAGCATTAACTTAGGGCAATCTTAAACTGAAGTAGCACAATAACTAAACACTAAATTGAGATAAAGTGAGTACTAAACAGTGCTGTAAATCTACTTGTTTTTATCAATTCTTGCAGAATATAAATTTTATTCGCCATTTTGATTAAATAAATCAAACCGCACTGTCAAAAATTTTAGTTACAATAAGGTTTACTCTCATTCAATTCATTTCATTTTACTGAATATAATTTTAACGCTGCAGTCTAGTGCAATTTTTATTCGTGGAATATAACATAAAGTTCTCATGGTAATGCAGTATAATCTAATCGAATGCGAAAATTTCTTGGCATTGGAATAGAGAGCATTGATCGAATATGTAGCATGGAAAAAGTTTATACTTAGCATGCGCAGTGTGCGCATATCCAGAGAAAGATTTTTTTCGACATAAAGAAATGTTTCTTTGCTATACAGTTAAAGAAAAAAATTCTTTGATTTGAACGTCATTTCTTTAATTTAAATATTATTTTTTTTAATCAAATTTATTTAATTTAAAAAAATTTATTTGATTTAAAAAAATTATGTTCAAATCGAAAAAATGACGTTCAACTCTGGTGAAAATTTCTCTCATAATTTTTATACATTATTAGAACAGAATTAGAACATTTTTCAGAAATATTCAGAAATATTCGGAAAGTTTACATCTTCTCTCAGAATTTTTCATACAAGTGAATTCTGAAATATTCTGAAATTTCTCATCCCATAATTTTTAGATTTTTAAATTTTTTAGATTTTTTATAACATTTCATCAGAAATTATACTTACAGAAAATCTTAAAAATCTTACGATATTTCATAATTAACATGTATGAAAAATTTTGAGAAAAGATGTAGAGTGTTTGAGAAATTTTCCAATTCGTATTAAAAATGTGAACAAGTTATAAAATTATAGAGAAATTCTGAAAAATTACATGAAAAATTCTGAGAAAAATTTTCAAAAAAATTAAAAAAATTTTATCTTTAACCGTAAGCATATAGCAAAGAAACATTTCTTTTAATTGGAAAAACTTTTTAATTGGAAAAACCTTTTTTTGAGTATATTAGTGCAAGTTGCCGAATTATATATACTATGATAAAAGAACCATTATTTTCAAAGGCATCCGCAGAATTTTTTCTGGGGGCATGATCCAAAATATAATATATATAATATTGTTATTATATA